TGAAAATGAAGGTGACAATACGCTCGAATGGGGTATATTCCGCTAATTGTGTAAATATTTTGGGAACAGTAGCAACAGCAGTCAAGAAGAGACGTATAATGATAGCAACTGCTATAATGTTGGAGTTGCAAAGAAGGCAAGTGAAGCGGGACTACAAAAAGAAGCAGTACTGGGTTGCTCCATACTTAAAAGACCGTCAGGAGCATAGCTTTTTTCATGTATCCATCCCTAAACTGACATTAGAAAATGGCATACATTTCCATAACTATTTTCGAATGTCGGCAACGCAATTAGAAGAACTATTGACATTAGTTGGACCACGACTGCAAAAAATGAATGTTATTCGAGAGTGCATAGGACCTAAAGAACGCTTAGTGTTAACATTAAGGTATTACTTTTTATTATATGTAATATGTAATAGTACAAAAATATGTCAAATATTTGATTCTATGCTTCCAATGTTTCAGATATCTTGCATCAGGTGATTCGATGAAATCGATGTCATATCAATATCTTGTAGGAGTTAGTACAACAAGCAACATAATTCGAGATACGTGCAAAGCGATCTGGGATATCTTACAGCCGCTAGTTTTACCACCTGTATTAACTGAAACAGAATGGTTAGATATTGCGCTGGATTTCGACAATGTAACAAATTTTGTCCACTGCATTGGAGCTATCGATGGCAAACACGTGACAATACAGGTTTATTTATTTATTTTTTTTTTTTAAAGAAATATTTATCCCTAAAGCCGGTTCTGTATTAGTTGCAAACCGATCGCAAGTTTGTTGCGACAGCCAATCTGAAGCGTTAATTTCAAAATGCAAGCTTGAGATTAGCTGTCGTAACAAACTTACGATCGGTTTGCAATTAATGTAGAACTGGCTCAAAGTAATAAGAATTAAGGGTAATGATATCCTTTATAAGATGTAAACTTATAACTTATACACTTTACCCGAAATACTTTAAAAATCTATCACACTGCTTAGTCATTATTTGATATAACCATTCAATATTGTTCCAGTGTCCCTGCAATGCCGGTTCTACCTACTATAATTATAAACAATCGCACAGCATTGTTCTATTGGGTATTTGCGATGTAAACTATATTTTCCGATTTGTGGACATTGGAGCATACGGTCGACGAAGTGATGGCGGAATTTTTGGAGATAGCATCATAGGGAGAAATTTTGATTTTCAACGTATGAATGTACCGAAGCCGACAGATGTTGAAGGTGGACGAATTTTACCATTCTGTCTTGTGGGAGACGAAGCTTTCCCATTAAAACCATATTTGCTTCGGCCCTACTCAGGCAGGATTGGATTGACTCTGATGGACGATATTTTTAACTATCGATTAAGTCGTGCAAGAAGAACTATCGAAAATACGTTTGGTATTTTAGCGAGTCAGTGGCGAGTGTTTCGTAAATCGATTATTGCTCAGCCAGAAACTGCTAAATTAATTGTGCAAGCAACGGTGTGTCTGCATAACTGGCTCCGAAAAGAAGACATTGGAAAAAATATGTATGTCTTCCCAAACAATCGACGAAGAAAGCGAAGATTTAAATAGTTTTCAACCAGGTACTTGGCGGAGAATAATTGAGGATGGATGCGCTTTTCAAAATATCACTAATTGTGGAACCAACACGAGTGCCCGAAGCTGCATGAAAATACGTGATGAATTCCGCGATTATTTTTGTAATGAAGGATCATTATCGTGGCAATGTAATAGGCACAAATAAATGATTTTCGTATTCTCATAATATTTTCTCATAATATCTTCATTATTTATTAAACATTATCGTTAAACATTATTTATTGAACATATAAAATATATATAAATATGTATAAAAATATATAACATTATTATTTATTTAACATTATCTATTTTATTTTTGGTACTCGTAACATTTTTTTCTTTAACTAGTCATTCATTCTCGTCTCACGCAAAAGTTGCAATATTGCGAGCATTGCCACTTCGCTTGCATTCGCACTGAGGGCTCGCAGTTTAGAGGCGACAATCATTCCGAACGCAGTGAATTCATCATTGGACAGACCTCCAGTTACATTAACCGATATGGGTTCATTTATCAGGTCCAACATCCTGTCCATAACTGCTCCAGACTTTTCGCTTCTTCCTGAAATGAATTTATTATTTTTTTACTTAAGTCGGCGGCACACCATGCTTGTTTTCTTGCTAGGTTACTAGCTGGATTAGATTCTTGCCATCGTATTGGCTGCAATACTGGCACTGTTAGCATCGCAGCCAATACGGTTGCGAGAATCTAATCCAGCAAGAAAACAAGCATGATGTGCCGCCGGCTTTATTCACAATATATGTAAGACTACACTGAGAAAAATGTTTATTTAATGTTAACAAATGTGTATGGTTGGCTATGGCGGAAGAAATATTTCTTAATAAATATTTAGTTTTGGTGGGTGAATCTTTTTAACTATAAATATACCATATTTATAGTTTAAAAGACATTAATCACAACTACATACATACCTATTTGATATTAGTTTAGAAAATATTTCTTTCGCCATATCCAACTGTGTATTTATTAACATTAAATAAACGTTTTTAATTTACGTTTTTACATTTGAATTTCTTTTTATATAGATATGTCATCCAATACAAAATTCAAATTTATATTAAAAAATGTACATTTTTTATATGAATAAATTTTCAATATCAATATTCGTTAACACTTATTAATAATAATTGAAGTATTCTTACGTGATGTATATGCACTGTTTCGCGACGTACTGTCACTGTGGTCATCGACAGATATTTCTGTGCTGTTTTGCGAAATATCTGAACTTTTGGAGAGATCAGGAATATTCGATACCGTTCTAGAAAAGTTAAAATAAAGGTTATATAAATGTAGTTTATACAACGGTTTAAATGTAATTTTAATCATTGTACAAACTACATTTATATAAAACGTATAAATATACATTACACATACTCGTTTTCACGTTGCATGTCATGCAAAAAACTAAGCCTATCAAAGTGAAGCCATTTAACCTTCTTGGCAGCCGCAGAACCACTCGGTTGTTTGTGAGATTTGCGAATTCTCCTGAACATATCGGATAATGACTTCTACTTCTTTTTTATCTCTTACACAGTCATTTCTCCTAAGGATAAAAAACATGATAAATACATTTGTAACAGACACGGCTCCCATACCTCAATTTAAAAATATTGTACCTTTTATGCTGTCAGCAATTTCTTCCCACAGCTTCTTTTTAGCACGACCACCCCTTTTGGAAATGTGCAATTTAAAATTCCAAAGAGGTGGTCGCTTCCGTACTTCCTCTATGAGAAGTTCCTCAATACGTACTTTCCTCGCTGGCAGGTTTGTTGGATGATCACTATTGATCAAACTGTCATCCTCTATATTTCTTTCCATTAACTTGTCTTCTTCCTGGTCAGCTCTCTCCTGCTCAACATCTTCCTGCGCGATCTCTTCTTCGACGAAGACCTCTTGATCTCTAACAAGACTTTTTCGAATGATCGATCCATTATCTATAAAAATATGAATACATTATCTATCATTTAATATTTGCAGTAATTTCACATACTAATACTTACCACATTGCGGATGTATATAAAAATTTTTGTCTATGTGATATCTCTGGAATCCTTCCAAGCAAGGATGATTGCTTATCTCATCTGGGTGACAAATTGTTTCACACATACTGCAAGTATATATACTATCGCAATTTCACCTAACTGAAATTCAAAATTGTAATGTCCTCAAATATGTTAATAATAAAAAATATATATAAAAACAGGGCTACGAGCCAAATTTTGGCTCGTAGTCCTGTTTTTACATATATTTTAAATTTATTGAGCCTTGTTATTAACATATGTTAATAATAACCGTTAAACGTTCAAATGTAAATACGCGGCTGTAAACATATGCAAATTAATATGATATAATGTATCTTACTAATTTATTAATATTTTTCATGTAATGCTCATAATCCACGAGATTAATGGAACTCATTTTTGCTAGATTCTTCCGTTTCATACAAAAACGCGTCTTCTTCTTCTTCTTCTTCTAAATTTAAGTGGCCCAGGTTCCGTTAAATACCGGATTATCGTGGCCAGTCTAACCCACAAGATGTCTGCTGGTGTAGAAAAAAATACTATAGAGTTCGTAGTCACTACTTGAAAACTGAAACAGATGTTTAGATGCAAGAAAAGGGCGCCGCGCGCACCCTCCATCGGGTCCCCGCGAAAACAAATTCTCGGGGAGACGATGGGAGGAACAGGAGAAAGGGGGGAAGGCGTAACGCTCCCCCCCAACACACGACACTCATACGGAAATCTTGATAGCTTTGAAGAAGGCCAAGAGTAATCTGCATAAATTATGGGAGGGTTTAACAAGGAGGGGAAAAATGTTGTATGTATGAGAGGGGAAATTTTTATTAATGTAGCGAATCAGAGGACCAGCCTTGTTTCTAGTCAGAGGGCAATAAAATACAATGTGATTTATATCCTGTCTAGGGTCACCACACTCGCAAGAAGGAGATAAGACCATATTTTTTCTATGAAGACTATAATTGAGATTATAATGATTAGACCTAAGTCTATTAACCAAGACAATTTCGCCCCTATTTAGAGCTAGTTTAAAGTACCACGGTTTTGTAGTTATAGTCGAAGAATAGAGCGAGTGATAATGAGTGCCAGTTAAAATAGCTTTTTCTTCCAAATAGGCTTGAAAGCGAGTGCGGGCCTTGGCAACCGCTTGTATTTGTAAATCAGAGTAGGGAGTGCGGTAATATCCTCTGCCTCCATCCATGCAAGCCTCCTTTGCCGCCCTATCCGCCACTTCATTTCCCAGAATGCCCTTATGGGAGGGGATCCAAAAAAGATAGCAATTAATGCTTCGCTCCTCCAACTGTAACAATACCGCCTTTATTTTGTGTATGATATAGTTATCGTTAATCAGTCTATATGATGCGAGTGCTTCTAAGACACTGCGAGAGTCGGAAAAAATAAATAATTTAGAGTATCCTGCATCCAAAGATAAAATTAGAGCCTGGTATATTGCCCATGCTTCCGCGGAAAAAACTGACGAGTTGTCAGTTAATTTATACTTAAAACAATGCCCGAGTTGTGGGGAATAAAAGGCCGCACCTGCACAACCATCCTCTGTAAGTTTAGAGCCGTCGGTATAATAAAAGATCCCATTCGGATCCAGTTCCTGCAATTTGCTCATAAAGCTTTGAGAAATCTCGTTATTATCGCTGTCTTTAGAGTATGTTATAAAATCTTCAAACTCCTTGCGAAAAAGAAAAACTTTAAGATTATTCTCCAGAGCCGGAATGAAGTATGATCTATACATGCTAGACTTTTCATGTTTATTAGCGATATAGCATCTCAAGGAAGGAGATTTGACTAGGGCAAACGCTTTTTTCGCCGGAGAAGTCAGACCATATTCTAGATCTTCAATACTGTCTATAACCAGAGAATTTCTTTTGGACATACGATTAACGATAAATTTTTCGCTAAGAAGGCCGAATCTGAGCTTGAGTGGAAGCTCTCTCGCTTCGCAAAGCATTACGTTGATAGGTGTAGACACACGATATCCCATAGAAGCTCTGATGGCTTTATATTGCTGTCTTTCCAGCTGTAATAATATTCCAGCATTACCTTTCCTCGAAAAAATGGAGCAAGCATATTCCACAGCTGCTCTGAAAACTGCTCTATAGATAGTAAGCAGGCATTGAGGGTGAGAGCCCCACCATACTGCAGTTAGAGCTAGAATTATGTTGATCAGCGCTTTCCCTTTTTTAATGAGATACTCAAAGTGGTAAGTGCCTTTCATGCGGCAATCCAAAATTACTCCTAAAAATCTGACTTTCTTTACCCTAGGTATTAAACATGAGTCGATATAAAGAGACCGGTCAGGGATAGGTATATTCCTCTGAGCAGAGAAAACCATCCAATTTGATTTAGATGGAGAGAGGTTGAGGCCCTTACCTTCCAAAAATGATGAGACATCACTCAAGACCCTTTGTAGCTTGTTTGTTGCAGCTGTTGGATTGCGGTCCGCAATGAATAACACTATGTCATCTGCATACTGCAGAAATTTAACGCCCTCCTTTATGCAAGTATTAAGTTTGCATAATGCAATATTGAACAAGAGCGGGCTTAGTGTGGAGCCTTGTGGAGTGCCTTTACGTGACAATCTTCTTTCTCCCAGCGATCCTTCGAGTAAGAATTGTAATGATCTCTCCCTGATGAGATTTTCCACTAATTTTCTGACCGTAGCGGGGACACCCGCGAGCTTGAGTTCGTCTAGTACAGCCGAAGGCAGAACATTGTCAAAGGCTCCTGCAATATCCAGGAAGACTGCAACAAGGTAGTCATCATTTGCCAATGCCAGACAAATTTGGTTCGTGAAGGAAACCAAACTGTCGTTACAGGATCTGCTGGGACGAAAGCCCATTTGCTCATTGGGTAGAATAGACTGCGATTCCACGAGCCACATAATTCTCCAGTATATTATTTTCTCAAAGACCTTTAGCACGCAGGAAAGAAGAGAGATAGGCCTGACACCAGATCCTCCAGCTTTAGGGATGAAAATCACTAGTGATGTCTTCCACTCTCCCGGAGCTACGCCCTCGGATAGAAAACGGTTGAAAAGATCCACCATTAGCTCCTTAAATTCATAAGGTAGATGTGCCAGCATGCTGTTGGAGATTCTATCAAGGCCAGGAGCCGACTTCTTGTTAGCAGTAGAAATTGCCATATCCAGGTGTTCTACAGTGACTAAAGCTCCAAGTTCTTTAAAAACCTGACTCGACGACTCGTCCTCTTTCTTCATGTCCTCTAAGTTAGATGGAGAATTTGGTAAGCACGATGGTGGGCACAATTTTTGAATGGCCTCCGTGGATAATTGTCTTTCTTTGGCATAATCTAAACCCTCGCTTGTCACGGTTAGATTGCGTCTTTTAAAGGCCTTGACCAATGACCATAGCTCCGCAGTAGGTGTTTTATCGTGAAAGGTTCCCACGAATTCTCTCCAACTCTTCCTTTTTTCCTTGTAAAGAGTTTTTGCACACTTGGCTCTCTCCCTCTTAAACGAATAAAAATTTTCAATAGTGGGATTTCTTTGCCATGTTTTGGCAGCCACTTTACGAGCATCGACAGCCTCTTGACAAGTGCTAGACCACCAGGGAGGCGCAGCTTTATCATTCTCAATCACTACTGTACCCGGTTGTGCTTTTTTATGGGGTGAGGAAGAACACGCTACCGCCGTCTCCACCAGATGATTTGAAAGACGTGTATAAGCTTCACATGGGTCCTGCGGCTGTTCTTCGGAAAATGAAGTATATGAGTCGGACAGTGCGCAGGAAAAGTTCCGTAATTCTTCAGGATTGAGATTTAACTTATAAACAAATCGTTTGCGCCGAAACGGATCAACGCCCAGCTTGATCGTTATAGGAAAATGGTCACTACCCCATGTATCTTCTTCAGTAGATACATTGCACAAAGGAGAGATGTTTGGCGTAACAAAAACCAGGTCAATAATAGAAGGTCTCGCAGTTGGTGGGAGGAGAAGTGTAGGCATTTGATCACTAAATATACAAATGCGGTGGTCCTCGCACGCAGACATAATGCGTTTGCCCGCACGATCGGACACGTGGCAACCCCACTGCGAGTGGTGTGCATTGAAATCTCCCATTAAAACGCAACTGTCTCTTGACGCCAAGTAACACATGAGGTCCTCGTAGAACTTTTCAGGCGTGTCTCGGTTTGGATTCCTGTATGCGTTAATGATGCTAATTTTTTCTTGATTGGAAAAGAGCTCCACACCCAATAATTCCACAGATTCCTCCTTGAGGTTGGTATTGGATAGGTCTAAAATATTAAAAACCAAGTTATTCCTGACCAGAATACATACGCCACGTTGACCGGCCCCTGTGATATCTTGTCTGACAATATTGAATCCACGTAGCATAAAATTAGATGAGACGTGCAAAAGAGATTCCTGCAAGCAGATAACATCATAGTTTCTGGCAATTGCTTGTAGTTGCGGCAGTTTATTCCGCACTCCACGACAATTCCATTGCAAAAGGTTAAGAGACTGCGATGTAAGATGTTTATTGGTGGTGAATTCTGCTTGAGTAATCCGAATTTCCAGTGGAGACATTAGAGAAGCT